CAACATTACTGAGAAGGAGTGAGAAACCTTGTGTAGTGATGGCAAATAGAATGTTTCTGTTTTTGTATCAGTGCAAGGAGATGATTCGCATTGTGAAGGTGTGGAGTAACAGCGTAGCATGGCGGAATTCCTCATCCACACCTAGTCAGTACCTACTGTCTCTACTCGTCACAGCAGCCTGTCAAGTCGTTCTTGGCATTGAGTATGTACCTTCTTTTGCTGCTGTTGGTTCAGTGCAGTATGTCTTTTATAAAATTCATAATTTCTAAGCAAGGGAAATTATACACTCCCAACTTTTCAGTAATAGAATTGCCAGAATTTCAAAAGACTTGTAAATATCAACTGGCTTGCTCTTTGCGAGTTGGTGTTTTTAACCTTGTTATGCTAAGTTTTAAATATTTGCTTCTGAAATTTGATTCCTTGGCCCTAATAGCCTATGTGCTATAAACACTGACCAATGGTAAACAAGGGGTTATTCATTTATTTATTTTTACAACAAGCCTACTAAACTTCAGAAATCATTGTACTCTTAAAGGGAAGATGATCAGTCTCATGCAGTGAGGGCAGACAAAGATGTATTCTTGGAACTTGCAGACATGGTTGGTGACGAGTCACTCGAGTACGTTTTCTCAGTGTTAATAACTTGGGGACTGATCAATGTATATAACATTCTAATAAATGAATCCTTAAAACGTACAAAACTGTTTTCCTTCACATCCTAAAAACCTACTTTTTAAAATCACATGCTGGCAAATTGTAGGCATACAATCCAGACAGAGGCTATAGAACCTTAGCATTTTGCACGCACTGCGGACCTACTTCTTAATCTGAAAACTGCTGTACAATGTACATTTCTTTACACATTTTTCTTGCTCTCTCTAATGATTTGGTATTGTAAATTATAAATCAACCACCTCCAAATAGTTTTAGTTATTTTAAAAATTTTCACAAACTGGACAAAATGCAAAATATCAAATATCTAACCTCTTCTTGGTTACTGTCTTTGTGGCCTGCATGTTCAAAAGTGATCAACACATGCTAACTATAACAACATGACTGTGCTAATTGAAGCCACCCTTAATAACTGTAGGAATTCTATCACCTCCAAACATTTTTTTTTTCTTGAGCAAAAGCACAAAGATTTTGTCAGTTGGTACTAAGTGACAAAAGCTGTGTTCACACTAGGCTGAAACATGATTAGTCTGATCACGAATAAAACATGTTTCGTTAGTGTTCACATCAGACAGTGCATTGCGCGAATCATGGTTGAAGCATGATTATTCTGAGCATGCTTGGACCAAACACTCAATCATGATCAGACCAAACACATTCAAATTGGCAGATGGATGCGGTGCCCAAAAGAACCAAAATTCGGGCTATTATGAGGTCAAATGTCTAGCTGAAATATGGGCTGATAAAGAAATACAACAGCAATTATCAGCGATGGGTAGAAAGCAGAATATTTGGGAGAACATTTCTGCAAAACTTAATGACAAATGTGAGTACCGTGAAGCAGCATAAATTATACAACCATGCATGAAACATGTTTGAAACCGACATCTGATGTGAACAATGCAATAACAAACATGTTTATGTGAAACATGTTTCCTTGGAACAAGTAAATATTCTAATCATGTTTCGGCTTTAATGTGAACACAGCCTAATTAATTTTGGTTTGTGTAACTTAACTTCTGTTATTATTATTTACCTCTTATCTAGAGTGTTATGGAATGAGTATTACCTGGCAGAAGAATATCCCAGGGAGAGTTTTCCAGTCCAATTTGAGCTGCCAATTATTCAAGACCCTGCCATTCCAGCACACAATGTGGCCTCTACTGACTTGGAGGACTGGGCACAATTCAGGAGAGAGCTTTCAAAATGGGTCGCAAAATTAACACTTTAGGTCTGTTGTGCAAACTGTTGTAACATCATAAGATATGCAAAGGCTGGACTGAAAAAGATATTTAAAGAATTCAACAACCATTATTTTGTTCATTTGTAATCATTGTAACTATTATAATTATAATTTAAAGTGGTGAACTTGTCATGTGAGGCAACTGAGTGTTACAGTACAGTTCTAATGATAATCATTGAAGCAGATTGCTAGATAATCAATCTCCCGGAACCAGCAACTTTTTGTGTGGAGTTATTGAACACAATTTTGTTTATAGAGCTGGGATTGTTTTCCATATATTTTGATCCTGGATCATTTTCCTGTATATTTACCTGACAAAGACTAGATGGTACCTATAAATTTTTCAATGTTTTAATCCACTGTTTATTTAGGGGCAGCACTTACAAAAACTCAATAATTGAATAAAACAAGTCTTACTTTAATTTTGTCGACCAAATAATAGCAGCAACCATACGTCAGTTTTGAACGTCAATGTCACTCCACTCCTCTTCCATATCAAAGTCAAGTAGATACAAAGAAGCATGTGCAAGACGTTCTGCATAAGCACTGCTGTTGAACTCTGATGTTTCAAAAGAACATTGCAAATGCTGTCTTGTGTGGCAGCTTTTTTTTAGGGTAGGGCATTGAATTTTCAAGTAAATGCAGTTATATTTTCACATGCAGGACTGACAGGGTTTGACAATCATACAGGTTTGACTGTACCAGTATCTACTAGCAGTGCTCAAAAGATGTTTTGAAATTTCACGGTCAATGCTATTTCAGTACAACAAATAATTCAATTTTATTTATTAATGTTTTCCTTTCTTTTGATATGCTTGGAATGTATGGCAAAGTAGTTAGAATGTTTCGAACCTGCTAATAATGATATTTTATTATCGATATGTTCTACAGTGTTTTTGTTATCACCTTTGTTAACTTGAAAGTTATATACCCCCAGTATTACCAGCAAACAAATGTATTCGTTCATAAACAAAATAAATAAATAAATAAATAACATGAACAAAGAAAATATGAAAAATTAACTCGTAACTATTAATTATTGAATAAGTATTCTGCAGTTCAGCAAATCTATCTTCTGTTACTTCTTACAAGGATATATTAATATACTCACCTCCAATAACTGGTTAACATGCTATTTGAAAGTCTGTTTTGGTTCACTGTCCAGTAAAAGGTGCTTCCTGCTCTGTAATGTGAATCAATCCATGCTCAAAGTTGCCAACCTAAATATTTATTCCAATCAGCCAAAATAAGTATACAAATATATCATACTTTATACACCTTCATTTGCGTTCAGGTGATTCATCAGCTCACTAAGAGCACTAGGAGATTATTTAAGTTCGTATCCAGGAGACATAGATACTCTGGGGGAGTTTGTTTCTCTATTTCATAACTGATCTTATTACAGAGATATCAACAGGACTGGTTTCTATTTGCATAACACTAAAGAACCCAATGATTTCTTTGCAGTCACTGTGTCTGAGACCTCTCCAGTAAAATCAAGAAAAGCCAATATAATTTTAATTGTCACATTGAAGGTGGCAGCTTATTTCAGACTAAAACAGGTTGAAAACCATACATGTACCTGTGATACACTCCTTTATTTGTCATAAATAGTACCACAAGTGGGTATGAAAGATGAACCAAATCCTATATTGTGATTGGCAACCTGATCAGGCAAGATGAGGTCAGGAGTGTCCACTGGGTTCCACAAGAAAAATGGTGTTTTACATGTACTGGTATATGTCATACAATATATCCTTTATTGATCAAGCTTGTTTGGTCAAGAGGGCTGGATATTGGCTTTCTTCTTTTCTCATGTGACCTTGACTGCATCTCAGTCCACAAACAAAGAACTTGACCTTTATCTCGACCTCTTGTATCGTCAATAACTCGTATTTGTTACATAGATCAATTAAATACCATAAATACCAAATATCTTATGGCTAAAGCTTAATTTCTTCATTGCCAAAAGTTTCACATGTAAGGATATTGATGATGTCATAGTTACAAAATATGTCAGCCAATGATATAACAGCATCCCATTCATGTGCTAAGTTCTGTAAGATGTCTTAGATTTGGATGTCTTAATCAATATCCGTATAACAAACAGAACATTACATGGCTGTATTATCATTTGTCTCACAATGTAGTCACTTGAGATGTAGATCGCAACGTTTCGACTGCTTACTGCTAGTCTTCTTCAGGCGATAAGGTNTTAGACGAGGCTATATAAACACGGAAAAAGTGTTCTATTGCTTAAATCTGGTGTTTGGCCCTGGACCTTGAAAGAAATACTGAAGTTAGTAATCATATCTCATTCCACCTCTTGTAAATTTGCATCAAAACAGAGTTCTCTACAGTGATGATTGTAAATATTTTATATTTATCACCTTTCCTCCTCCAATGTTCCCACATCCATTTGTTGTCCTTATGTCCAGCAATGGTTTTGGAAGGACTTTTCGATGAAGAAGAATTTTCCTGCCACTGGGACGAAAACAAATATTGCGTTTTGTCTTGGATAGGACACCCCGGCAGAGAGGATGTGTATTTAGATAAACATATCTGAGAAGAATCCTTGAATGTATCAAGGAGGAACTTTGCACCATGTGTTTAGCTAGAATAGTGCCATGTTCAAAATAAGTGTGCACAGGCTTTCTTTCACACGGTCTCTTATGTAAACCTCTGCCTGAAAGAAATCACTTCTCGTGAGTTTTTACATGACCATATTAAAGTACGCTGACAGTCTTTTCAAGGCGCAAGTAACTTCCACCAATCAGATGCTTTGTTAGAAGACGCGTGTATTTCAAACAGTCGCCGCTCGTTTCGCAAAAACAGCAATCAGGCGAACAACAAATTGAACACTAAAAGAGAAGAATATTGATCAATTGCTGCTGTTACAATGTTGAGAAGTCCACGAGTAGATCAGGAAAATCTTCCAATTGGGGTAACTTTAAGTTTTAATTTATTTACTTCGTATTGTCATCAAATTGAAGTCCAGCTGTTTCCAGTACTTGACTGTGGTTAGCTTGGCTTTGATTATTGACGAATACGTAAGCTTAATAGTGGTAATATGACTAATATGACGTCCAATTTTAAAATTCAGTCTGTAATCATACGAGTGATTTGTGTCTGATTTGTTAATCACGAGTATGATTTCAGACTGAATTGGACGACATGATGTCCTGTTAGCAATAATATTATTGATCATAACCATTACCATTTCCCACAAAAGTAAAAGTTTCATTTGAAAAAAAGCTTTTTATGGTCACTTTTAAATACCATTATTAAAAATATGGAGAATAGCTTGCAAAATGGCTGTTAAGTTTCTTTCAAAACAGTCACTGGAGACTAAACCTCCACAATTATTTTAGTCAATCAGTCTCTTGAATTGGTTACTATAGTGATTGTAATCAATGTTGTGACTGGTGGATTTAGTGGAGAGGACTTAAAATGATTGCCTCATGTAAATGTCTGATTACAGGTGTCCGATTGCAGCCAACTGTCTGATTATACTGTCCGATTACAACTTTGCAGATTAATATTAGAGCAAAATACAGCAGTTTATGCACCAATCCCATTTGAGGAAATTGTAATTGTTATGATTACCTGTATTATTCACTTTTATACATATAGAGTAGCCAGAGTTCTTAGATTGAATCCCAAGACAATCCACACAGAAATCATCATCTCTGGGAAATTCAGTTAATAAACTTCTTTCTGTTAACTTATATCAATATCAAAATCATGATAACAAACTCTGTTTCTATCTTAACCTTAGTTGAGCATTTTCATGAGTTTGAGCTTTCGTTTATTGTCAAGATAATGATATATCAAAAACAGCGAAATATCTTGGTTGAAATGACCTTATACCCATTGCTTAACATCACAATCTTGTTCAATTTGAAATTTCAGTTGTACTTGTTAAATATATGTAGGTAGAAACTGAACGTTCATTTCAGCACACAGCATACAGCACCACAAAACTTATGTTAAATTGTGACTGATTGACAGGTGGCAGCTCTGATCACTCCTTCCAGACACCCACTGAAGAGTGTTGTGGACAGTCGTGTAAACAATGGCACACTTAATCGAATACAACATTCAGACATTTCAACAAAGATATTGTTTAAACGTAAACAAAAATCAAAGAGGCTTAGTGCCCCGTTACAAAACTTACGGCAGCTGGTGCCCACCCTAGTCAAGACACTGACTCCATCTCCAATACAAGAGGAATGTCTTAATAATGACAAGGAAACTATTCAGGATTTTCCTTCTTCCAAAGACAAAGATGCATCTGAAGAACACTTTATGAGGAAAGTTGTTGGGAGAAATGTGAATGAAGTGGAACAGGTTTGAAGTGAATCTGTCCTGATTTTTTTTAAAAAAAACAAGATTTACAATACACTGTCTTGAGGCGTGAAATAAATCACACTTTGGATGGAAAATTTCATCTTCAAAGTGCCATAGTGCCAGAGTGTTCTTATACTGATTTAAAATGTCAGGCTAGTGTGTTATGTGGAAGAAGCTGAAGTTAGTTGAACCAGTTTGCAATATTATTGGCAACAAAACAAACACTAAAGCAAACTCAACTTATGTATACCTCCCAACCCAAATATGTTTTCTGATTGGAGGAGAATGTATCATGTGTCATGAGTCAAAACTCACTAATTCCCCAGGGAAACAACAACTTAAACTTTCAGCTCACACGTGATCAGGTTGTGCACCTTGAAACAGCGGCAAATTTGTGTGACAGCCTGCATCAAGCAAATATTTTTTGCAGGTTTTTCTATTTTTGAGTTGGGAGGTATAAGAAAACACTTAACGACTTGCCCAGCAGGAAACAGTGAGTTTTGTTTCCTCTCGACAACAGGAACGTTGAGGGTCTCAGGGAAACCAAACTAACTGTTTCCCTTGGGACCAGTCATTAAGTGCTTATCGCCCTCAGCTTTCCAGATTTGAGATCAATTGGCATGATAAATTTTGACTTAGAATAATTATCAAGGTAAGTTAATTTATTTGCTTCTAACTGTCGGGAAAGCTTTATTCTGCTTAGATTTTCTAATCATCAGTGTTTAGATCTGTTGTTGTGATTGTACTGGTAATTTAGATTATAATAATTTGAGGCAGTTCATGTGTTTTAAAATTTACAGTAGTTTGATTGAAACATCTGGCCAGTGGTTACAACCAATGGAAAAACTAGAAATAATCCCCATCAAAAGTAACTAACAGCCCATGACCAACAACCATAACCCATTTTTGTGTTTAATATTTTTTTTTATAGAATGTCATTTCCAGAATACCAAGAAAAAAATTTTTTTTGTAGTTAAAAAGTTAATGTTATTCAAAATGGCCCTCACTGTAACAGCTGTTCAAGGCCACAAATTTAAGAATTCACAGCAGTTAAAATTAACATAAATCAAATTAAAATTGTTTCTTCATACAATATTGTAAACACTTTCCATGTAAACACTATTAATACTTAATATTTATAATTTCTTTCACCAGAATGAATCAAAGTTGAGGCAAGCAGAATCTGTAGCCAGTAAAATGGAAAGTAATGAGTCGATAATTCTGCAGATGAATAAAGAAAGATTACGACTTGAGAGGCAGTTATCTCTTCTGATGAAGGTAAGTTTCTTGCTATTTGATTACAGCTGTTATTTTCCTGAAGCCAAAAACTATATATTAATCATAAATATATTTTGGTGGTACAACTAGTAGGGCTGTTGAAAGTGTATAGCTGGACAGCACCATAAACTAATATACACATATGAGTCAACATGCTTTGACAGAGAGTTATATATATTTTCTTAAAAGTAAAACATTATTATAATCACAAATAAATTACTGTGAATGTCATGCATAAATTATCTCTAGTTAGCATTAAATTGAACCCATTATTTGCTATGAGGTTTACTTAAAATAATATTATAATAAAGAACATTTGAATTTAGTGCCAGCAAGTATTGACATGTTGAGCTGAATGATTGTGAATTGTTAAAACCAGTAGCATATTTATGTATATAACACACCTTGTCCATTATGCGTGAATACTTTTCTTGGTATAAGGCAGATTTGTTAAATACCTTGTTACTGTTGAAAATTTATTAAAACTGGTACAGGGTTCGCATGCACCTTGAAAGTCCTTGAAATTTGCTGTTTGACTGTTTCCACTTAGTGGAAGAACTAGAAAAGACTTAGACTTGAACAAATCCGGCAGTTATCCCTTAAACCTGATAATCTAGTATCACATTCTAATGGCATTTTTTACTGGATGGAGTGCTTGAAAAATTGGAATTGTGCCCTGGAATGTCCTTGAAAAGTCCTTGAATTTTTAGTCCAAAAAAGAGTACGAACCCTGCTGGTAAGAGAAACAAGATAATCTAAGATTCATTTGCGGATCTTTCAGGAGCATGTAATAACTAAAAAACTACAGCATGGTGCTTCTACCACAACTACAACTTCAAATGCTGGTGCACTTGAAAGGGAGTTAGCTTTGAAAACAAAAGAACATCTTGAGCTGCAAGGGCAGCATGATCAGTTACAAGAGATACTTTTAGAACTTCCAGTTCTGAAGAAGGACTTACAGAAAAGCAGGCAGGAGACAAAGGGATTGAGTGAAGTTCTGTTCTCAAGCCGCAAGGAAACTGCCCAGCTGAAAGATCTTGTGGCTAAACTGAACAAACAAATAAAAAGCAAAGAAACTCTTAGTGAGAATTATAAAGAACTTAAAGGGACTTTAGAGAATATAACACAAGAAAGAGATCAAAATATTTCTGGAGTAGAAAGACTAAGTAAGCTGCTGGAACAGAAGGACAGTGAACTTCAAAGAAACAGAAGTCACTGCACTACATTAAAAGGCCTAGTGGATAGACTTGAGGTGAGAAGAAATGGTAAATATTTTGTAGCGGTAAAAAGCATCTTACTAGTGAAAGATACCAAGTGTATGGCTTAAGCTCAGTCTTTGTTGTATAATGCAAGTGAAGATAATTCTAGTCCAAAGATCAAGAGACATCACGTGGCAAAGACTGTCAAATAGTCTAGTAATTATCCTCTTTTTAGAGCAAGAATTTTTTATTAAACCCCATAGCAGCTTTTCAAGGCTCCTGCTAAGTTTGTTTACCTTTTTGGCCTTGTAAAACTTATTCAGTCACCCATGAAATCTGGTTAATGTGTGGTTTGGTGATCAAGTTTTTTCTAGCATCTTATATCCTTTTTCCCATGCCCTCAAATTGATATTTAATAACTAAAGCTGTTCACTACATCTTTTTTTAACACAAAAAGGCAAATCTTTTTGTATGTGAACAGTTACCTTTCCACCTTTCACAAACCAAACTTTTGAGACGTGCATCCCATGTCAGTATGAGGTGAATGAGAAAAGCCTTGCTTCAAGTGTTTGTGCTAGGTAATACAGGTGATGTCTGTATTTCTTCCATGACAGAATGCTTCTTCAGAAGCTGAGAGATATGTTGCCTCGAGTAAGGAGAATGAAACAATTCTTCAATATCAGGTGATATGTTGTCTGAGTTTTTAATGTTTTTTTTTTTTATTTATGACCATCTTGAAGTACAAACCAGTGTTATGATAAAGTAACTTGAAGACAGCAACAGCCACTAGTCAACACACATTACACCTTATAGCATTGCCATGTATACTTTTATGCTTCTGTGCTAAGTACAAGCTTTCTCAAAACAGCTATATACTCCAGGTTGCTGATTCAGCTAACATTGTCTTTATTAAACAGGCCACTATTCATGACTTTTTCTCGTTTGCTGTCATCAGATAGATGAACTAAGTTTGTCATTAGAGACAAACTCACAGCTTCTAGAAGAGAGCAGAAGGCATTGCATGAACAGAGATGAAGAACTTAGACATTCAAGGTAATAACATCTCTTCCGCTGACATCAAAACAAAGCTTGTTTGTCCAATAGGCTTGTTCTGGGCTATCAGACAAGGTTTTCTTACCCTGTCCTTTTCAAGCCAGTCTTTGGTAATGCAATGTAATCACATGGGTAGTGACCTCGGGTTCTTCTTTTAGTGAGCTGTCAGTTGCTAGATTAACAAAGTTTCAGTGTAGTACTGCAGAGTTTATAGGGACAGTTCATAATGATGAGTCAAAGGGGATTTCATATCACTGAGAATTCAGAGTGTATGATTGTTTATTGTAGTATAAATCTCTTGATTTTTTGATGCTTTTTAATAAGCACATGTGGCATACCAATAAAGAGCTATACATAACAGTGCAAGGGCTATTTTTGTCAATTTCAGAGAAAGAGAAAAGGTGATGAAAGAGCAATGTGACAGACTAGTTGGACAAAGTGACTGTTTGACAGCAGAGCTTGACATTCATAAAATGGAAATCTCAAGGCAAGAAGATGTTATTAACCAACAAGAGACGGAATTAAATGCTTTAAAAGTGAAGCTTGCAACATCCCTGGAACAACTAGAGGTATGAGATAAATCAGTGTAATATAATTTATAGAGAAATCTAGCACTGTATGTTCCTTGTTTAGCCTTTGGGCGCATTGTGAGTTTTGAAAAAAGCACGACATTTTGTTGGAGATTAGCCTTTTACTTTTTCCATACCTGACCATATTGGCACAACATAGGTCCATAATATCATTATTCATTGTTTCCAAGTGACAGCTGTAACCATTCATAAAATACTCTCTAAATGCTTTATATCATTTTGTCATATTGTATGTGTACATATTCTGTATTTTCAGTATCCCACAGAGAAAATATGATCACTAATAATTATTATAGTTAAAAGTAAATTTTGTACTTCCAGTCTTCCTAGTTGAAATGCGTACTTACAGGTACTCTATTAATGTAGAGTTTCACTGATAGGTGGTAACAGCCTGTCAACATTTCTACTGGTTGGACAATTATTTAAGAAATAGAAAACATGTACCGTGTTTCTATCGAATTATAGAAACACGAGTGGAAGTTTTGGAGAACGAGAAATGCTGTGGGAACATGAGCCGCAGCTGAGTGTTTCCACAGCTTTTTCGAGTTCTCCCAGACTTTCACGAGTGTTTCTATATCTCGATAGAAACACGGAAAACATGTTTTCTGTTTCTTTTAGAAAACACCTCGACGGAAAAATGGCAAACAACTTGTTAACTTTGATCATCAAAATGTAAATTCTCTTTGCCCGCGCCATCATTACGTCAACAGCTCGGGCTAGTTCTGTGTTTCTATCGAGTTATAGAAACACGATTTTGAACCAATCAGCGTGCGTATTTTCTTAGGACTGTTTTCTAAATTTTATTGCCCGAGCGTGAGGGCTGTACTTGGAGAATATCTTCCCGAGATCATGATAAAACCTACAGGGCACGGTCTCGAGAAAGCCTTGGTTAATAAGAAACAATTGAAAAACAGAAGGAAAAGAAAGCTGAAAGAGGAAGAAACAGAATCACTTGTGAGAAAGTTAGTTCCCTAGAAAAATAAGCTTTAAAACCACATGGAAACCGCGCGGGATCGTTCGGAGAGTGCCTGGTATAGTATTTAGAAAATATTGGACTGTGTCTCATTGCATAACGTGGTAGTTTTTCAAAAGTCGTACTCGTATCAGTTGAACTGTATCATTTTGAATGTGCTTATGCCGCCTTTTTCGTAGTACGTACAGTCTCAACAACAGGAAATGAATGAATTCACTGAAGAAGAACGAAGAACCCTGGAGGTTACAGTGTGCGAAATGGAAAGCCAGGTAACTTCAATCCATTTACTAACAAATGTTATCAATATTTAACAACTCTATTTTCTTTCGACTTATACAGCCTTTTCCAATTGCTACTTTCAAGTAACCGAAACGTGCACCGTAATATAAATGGTTTTGACAGCAGAAGAAGGTGAAATATCAACTAAGGGCTATTGCATTGATCCGTATTAAAAGCACGGTCTGTAAATGAAAACAAGGATCACGTTGATGATAACTTGCTGTACTTTAGTAACTTAACGTACAGTCTTTGTGTGGCATTTCAGTTAAAACTGAATAAACTTGAGAAGACTGAATTAGACGCATCTTTGAGGAACAAGTCTGAGAAATACGAAGAACTTGTTGAAGAAGTAAAACACTCAAGGTAGGTAAAACGAACACGTGACTGTACATCAAACCTGAGGGAGGGGTGGACAACATGAAACAGGCGGTTTGACTGTACACTTGCTGTGTGTTTCAGAGACCTTTTGCAAGATAAACAGGAGGAACTGGACGCTACTCAATCCCAGGCTCACTGGATTGTCTTACAGCAGGAGGCAATTATCGCGGACACCGCAAAAGAACTGACGGAGATCTCGGATCTAGTCAACGACTTGCTTTGGAGATTTAACAAAGAGTCCTCTCTTGCAGAGGTATAGAAAAAACGTAATTTTGTTAACTTGTTAATTAAAAAATAACACCCATTTGCTGAATTAAATTATGTGTTTCCATTATTTTGATTTTTTTTCTCTCTCATTCCAGGTTGACTGTGAAGAGAAAGCGATGCCAGATGCTTTAATCATAAAAAGTCCCGTGAGTGACGTTAACATCAAGTACTATGAGCCTCCTAAGTCTCTTGTACAAAGTGTTTTGGAGGCAAGAGCGATGAGAGTCGACGAGTTACGGCCAGTGAGTCAGCTGTTTGAACCTTAGTAGTTTAAGTCTGATTCTGGTGATTTTTTATTTCGTTTGAAAATAAAGCCAAGCGAATTCAATGTTTCATATTAATGGTAAGCTTTACGCGAAGCGACTACTTAACCAGTTGGCACACGTCATATAATTTTAGATATAATCACAATTTTAGCTAGCTTACAGTAAGTAAAACTGGTGTTTTTTTTTAACTCAGTGGTTTCACTTACGTTAGAATTTCCTTTTACATGTCAGCATGAGGCACGTTGTAACAAATTAAGCCCCATTCCTGAAACAAGCGAAGAAGATCATGAATGTTCTCAAAGTTCTGAAGATGAAGAAAAACTGCCTTCATTAACCGAACAGGCACTGGAACTTAAACAAACCATGAGACAGCTGGCAGAGATTTTTGGAGACCAGACTGCCTCGGTCCAGACACAGAACACAGTCAAGAGACTGGAAAAAGAGAGGTGTGCGGCACACAAGTTGCATGTTTTCTGGTTTTGAAATTGATTTAGTAATTATATGGAACAAAGTTGTCGTTTTAGCGAATTTCTCATTTGTCAATGAACGGGCACGAAGTAGCTCTATTGGAGCTGTTCGCACAAGTTTTGAGCGTCGCAGAAATTTTCGCTTTCCAAGCCTGGCTTTCCAGCTCGACCTGTGGGTAAGCCTTCAGTATTAAATTCGACGCTGGTTTCCTTCCCAAAAATATCCACTGGTTGATTTCTAACTGAAACCGTTCGATTAGAGCTCCTACAGAAACAACCAGATTTTAACAAAGGGAATTTGCGACCCAGCGTTTAATTAATTTCTAGCCAAACAACTCATGTGGTCTCCAGAGCCAGCTCTTCCTTGTGCCAGGGCCCCGCCGGCTGAGATGGACAGGTTTTTCTGGGGACGAGAATACTTCCGACAGCGAATCAAGAGAGGACCCTAAGGACTTGACTGGAAGTGAACTTATTATATCTCTCAGTTAGTACGCGCGCTGTGATTGGTCAATTTAGCGGGCCGTACTTTCCTGTAACGTTGGTTTTGTTGCCAAACTGTTTCGTATTTATCGCTAAGTGTTCTTTACTTTTATAGCAAGTGAAAGTTTAAAACTTTCCTATACTCAAAATTGTGTAATAAAGCGTGCTAACGTCAAACTGACTCGTTTTGCTTTCGAGGTGCGTCAGAAATTTNCAACCAATCAATGAAATAAACAATGGCACTCGTAATTTATCAATTTTCCGTTTCCTTCGCGAATGTTTTTAGTATTTGGCTTTCACTTGCTTATGGATTTGGTCAACAACACAAAGATGTCATAATTAATCCAGAACTTCATCTCCCTTCTTGCGGGAACGGTGTGCTTGAACATTAATGTGACTGTTTTAACATTTAACATTTTTAAAATTTTACAGTTTTAGCATTTTTAGTTAATCTTTGGACTAATTTGTACCTCAGGTCCTGATAAGTATATATAGAACATTTTGGACAGTTGAATGGTGTGCCTGACTCTTGTTTGTTTTTTAGGAGCTCACAGCAGACGTTCAGCGCTTTTCAGACCAAGTTAAAATGCTAGAAAGAGAGAAAGAAAGCTTGTCGCAGCAATTGATAGAAAGTCTTTCAACACTAGACCAACTGTCTGAAGCCCAACCGGATGTCAACAAAACACAAGATGTTCTTGGGACACTGCTGGCTGAGAAATTCAAATTAGAGAACAAGGTGACGCAAAAAAAATAAAAATGAAGTGTTTTATGATATCCACCAAATGGGAGCGTATAAATAACTTCATATCAGCACGATCATTTTTAAGTAAAACGTTTGCATTGAACCAGACGTTCCAAACCCCCGGAGCT